AACACTTGCAAAAGAAAGATAATGCGACACTTACAAAAAAGGAAATTGGAGATTACTGTCTCCATAATTCTCAAAAAAAAAGCAAAGTCTCTCCAAAACAGAAAACAAACCTATATATAGTCTCACAATAGAAGAATATCTAATTAGAAATAATAAAATAAGAGATAAATTAGAAACATGAAGAAAATTTGGGTTGAAATAAAAAATCGGGCTGAAATTGTGCGGTTTTGCTCTCTGCGTAGGATCATGAGATTTATGAGATCGGGAATCACATAATGCTCCCGCTTCATTTTCTATTGCTAGGAGAGTCTTCATCTTCTTCTTTGTTGACTTGTTGAATTAATTTATTGCCATCATAATAAAAATTCGTCTTGCTGTGTTTGAGGTAGTCCTACTCCAAAATTTTTACTCTCTTCCATTTCAGATAACTCCAAAACACATGTTCTTTCAAAGTTTTTCTTGATAGAATAAAAAAAAAATCATTCTTAGGCATAGTCAGAGCTAGTATTCTCACAAACCAAGCTTCTAACCTTCAACTGTGTAAAATATTTTTGAAATTTCTCTTATATGGCTTGTTGCATCCCATAGGCGAGTTGGTTTGGTAGAATAAAATACTGGAAAGAGGTCTATGACCTCCTGAATTTCTCTCTGTGGTATCCAACCAAGAGGTAAACTTTCAATCAAGATATCTGAGAACTCTTGCAACTGGGTCTGCTCATGTTTTGATACCTTCTTGTCGGTTTCACTACTTTCTAGGAACCAATGTTAATCTTGCTGGGTCTCTTTCATGGGTTCAACATGAATCATTAGCATCACTTCTTCATCGACTGCAAGCTAATATTTCTCTTTGATGTCTTATCATCTCTTTGGTCAATGTTTATTTCTTCAATTGCTTTCTGCTATGTGAATAAGATCGTTATCCTATTTTGACAATCATATTCAATGTACCCAAAATTATGATACTTGAAGCACTTCTTGGCTGGAATATATCCGCGAGTTCTGGCCTCTGCACATTTTCTTGACTCTGTACATGTTTCTTATATGGTGTGGTCGATTTAGGTACGCTATTGGGTGTACTTTTTTTGCTTGATCCGATAGTTGAATTCTGTTTAAAGGTTGGTGTAAACATGATATTGTTTTGTTATCTTTTCACTTTCAGGTTTAAGGCCTGGCTATCCTGTAATATCCAACAGGGTTGCAATTGTACCATGTTGCTAATAGATTATGTCAGTCTCACTCATATATTGAGCTTTGGTTTTCTCCTCGGGCTCTACTAGCTTACACTTTAACATAATTTTTCGAACTCTGTTGTGTACCCTCTTGAGAGAGATCTTGTTGCTACAAGTGACGAAGTCTCGGAATCATGTCTTGTTTGTAATTGATTGGTAGATACTTGTGCTACATCTCTCATTTCATCGTGAACCAAATAATGAGTTGTTTTTCCCTTCTTCATGTCGAAAAAATGTTTCATTTTTCCCACGACAATCTTCTTTAACTTAATAGCAGGCTGGCGACTAACATGACTCTTGTGTCAGGTGGAATAATCTTATACTCAAAGTTGTTTGGAACCACTCGATAAACTCGTCAAGATCCATGAACCGTCAAAACATTGTTTCTCAATCTTTACTCCAACATCCTGATTTTTTGATATTAAATGTCAAATCCATGTAAAATTTTTAATGGAAGAGATTCATTTCATTTCCTCGATCTGATGAGTCATTGTTGTGGTTAAAGGTGACCTCTTTGGGTTGTCTCTTTTCAAAAGTGGCTAGTCTCTTTTGCAGTTGAAGAAATTCTTGTTGCATATCCTTATTAAGCTCCTGTCCACCTCTTTGTAGATTTCTCCTAGACGGTATTGTGTCATTTTCTCTCAATCAGGGTTTCAACGAGTGTATGGTTGTAAATAAAAGTCAGGTCGAAGTTTAGGGTTTTGGTGGTAGGTTTTGGGGTAAAATTTGGTGGAGGTAGAATGTTGAATTTTTAAGATTTTAAAGTTGAGATTAGGAGTCGCGGTAGGAATGATTGGGTATGGTGGAAAACTTTTTTTGTTTGGTATGGTGGAAAACTTTTTTTGTTTTTTTGTTTTTTTTTTTTGGAATTTTGGATTTGGAAAGAGAGAGAAAGTCCTAAACAAGATGGGCTTGTCGGACTCTGATACAAGATGATACAGCTCTGACTTCTAGAAGGTGTTTATGAAGGGAATTTAGAGGGTACGCCGTTGTGCGTTTGCAAAAGAATGATGTATGCGAGGTCGATGATGTTTGGAATGCAATATGTATCGTTCGACGACTGTCCCGATTGAAAACAACAAAGAGAACTTAAAATAGTTGACGTTTGGGTGGTGAGGAGGTTCACCACTTATTCTCGAGCAAGATACATCACTTTACTTGCAAAAGGAAGAGAATACCACATTTATGAAGCAAAAAATAGAAATCACAAATTCCATTCTACTCTAAACAAAGCAAAAATTCTATCCAAAATGGTAAAAAAGCCTTTAAATAGTCACACGATAGCAAGTATCTAATGAAATAAGAAAATAAGAAATAATTAAAAAAAAGAAGAAAATTTCGGATGAAATTGGAAATTGGGTTGGAATTTTGCGATTTCGCTCCCTACGATCATGGAATGTGTAGGATCGCAGGATTTTTGCGATCCCGTGACTAAAGTGGACGCTTCTACGTTGCCCCAATTCTTGCCATTTTTCCCATTCATTGAAGCCCTATATATTCTATTTGCTCTAGCTTTTGGATCTCACCTAGTCATGAACCGATTGCATTTCTTTCATGCACATACCATATGCTATCTATGTATGAGACGGACGTTAAAACAATATAACTTGTGGACCAATGTCAAGTATGACTTTTTAAATATTGCATCTTTCTCTCGAATCTCCACAAGTTAAATCGCATTGTGCTCCGTTAAGACATTTGTTGATGTGCGTCTCATAACCTTTCCAACGGCTTAAGTCGTGTCGTGCTCCACTGTGGAATCTGTTGAGCACATCTCGTAGCCCTCTTAACATGAGAGAATTTATAAAAATATTAGGTAGTAGTATGTTTGTGAAGTAATTAATAAAATATCACTTGAAACTTTGATGGCATAAGTCGCCACACCCCACTATAGTATTTGTTGGAGTGTGCTTTGTAGCCTTTCTTATAGCTTAAATCACATAATGCTTTACTGTAGGTCTGTAGCATTCGTCAAGGCATCCCTCGTAGCCATCTTGATATTAATTATGCATGAGGCGTTTATTTACAAAATAAGTAATATATTATTTGAGACTTACACATGGCATAACTTCTTCCACATGCTATCATGATAATTGTCTGGGTGTATCATGTAGTCTTTCCTATGGCATAAATTACATACACTTAACAATGGCATTTGTCAGAGTATGCTTCGTAGGATTTTTTTATTTGACAAATCTTTCAAATTGAAGGGGAAATATAATCTAATTCTTACTCGATTGCCGGGTGATCTTGTTCTGAGTTGTGGAACTTTTGCTATATTTTCCAAGCGATCTCTCACTATAAACAACAATTCAAGAAAAAAAGGGATTTGAATTTTGCAAGGACACCAAGATCCAACTTGATGTCTCAATTACCATACTTGCACATTCAAAAGCATATGCATCTTGAAGCATGCAGTAAACCAAATTTCCTAACAATGTTTTGAATAACTTGGAGATAACATGGATCTGACGTCAAAATCGACACGTTTTTCTACAGAAATTAAGGCTAACACAAATATTTTCTTCAATAATCCAAAGAACTAAACAAGACTACAAAGATAAACACCTACAATTCGAGAAATAGACAATCTCTCTCAATTCCTACAATTCAAACGGTTGGAAATCTCTCTCTAATCCTAAACCTAAGATTTACAACTCAATCTCATGCATAAACCTAATCCTAGACATAACAAGCCTATTTATACTCAACAACAATAATAATAAAAGACTAAATTGCCCTTAGGCGTACAAAATTTTCCCTTGGGCCAGGGTCCAACGTAACAGTCTGCAATGCTTACCAATAAAAAGAAGACGGGAATGTGTTGATGCACCTTGAACTATGAAACAATTTCACATCGAACCAAATCGAATCAATTAGACTCACTGTGTTTTAGGGATACTTTCTTGAGTCAAGTTAGAACTTGTGAATAATTGATTGTCATGTCATGACTCGAAACTATTGTCAATCATGTCTGTCTCGTCTAAGGCTTCGTTTGGGGCAGCTTATCCACTACGGCGGCATTTTGAAAATGCTGTTTCACTGTTTGTAAACTGCATTTGAGCAGATTATCCGAAAATGCAGTTAGTTTTTTACACTAAATGCGGAACGCGGGTCGAACTCTGCGGTCCGCATTTCCAGATAAACGGCTTATCTGGATAAACACAAACTGTCCCAAACACGCCCTAAATCATAAGAGACCATGCTTTGTGCCTTTGAAACATTTATTGAAACTGATGCAACAAACCCTCCACAAGCAAACGAGTCAATCTCAAAAACAAAGTTTCGTTTCACATGCATTTTCACCTTGATTTGCTGAAGATGTTAGAGAAGAGACAATCTTTAAACTTTGTAGTTCAATGCTTTCTGGGTCCGTTGATGTCCCAGGATGACATCTGATTCGCTCCATCTTCATCACCTCAACCATTCTTCACTCAGTTAAGCTGACTTCTACATGCTTAATTTAACGTTAAAATTAAATCTCAGCAACCTTTTTAATTAAGAGTGCCGTATCGTGAGCAAAATTGATAATATACTAGTAAGTTTGCACTAATGATTTAAATAAACTATTATCTAAATATTAGGTAAAACCTGGCTAAATGAAAGTTTTTATTCATCAAGGAAAATTCCTTCAAGTTTCTCATCTCTTACACATCAAGAAGGCCTACAGAGAGGGGATTAGCTTTTGTCTGAGTGATCATGTATATATTATTGTTGCTTTTACTATTTCTTGACGTGCTTGAGCATATAACTTTTATTTGCATGTTCCAGTCAGCTTCTGCCTTTTCGCCTATTGTGAATCCAATAAATTGCCCTTGGGGTCAAAAGGCTTTCTTAAACTATCTTGGTGGCGACAAGTCAGATTGGGAGGAAAGTATTCTTCATCCTTCGACAAAATTTTGATGTTTTATATTTATAATTCCTTGAGGAGATATTAATGGATTCTCATTTTGGAATCTTCATAAACTTTTTGCTTGACCGCAGGTATATGATGCCACTTGCTTGGTTGCTAAGTACAATAAATTTTCTACTCCCATCCTGATCGACCAGGTACATAATATGTATATCCTAATGGAGCATCATTGGTTTTGTTATTTTGTGTCATATTGTTTCAAGAAATCTGTTATAACCAAGCCTATCAGCTAAAAGATCCTTCTGATAAGAGTTTTCTGTCATTGAACTTTTACTTTAACCTGAATTTTTGCATGGAAATCTATTAGAGAGAAGTATATATTTATCTCCACACACACACACACCCCCATTTTTCTTTGGGAATTTAGGATGACTTTCGTAAAAGAATAGAGGGTTGTGTTTCACCAGCTCTTTTTTTGTAGGAATTCTTTTACAGTGAATTTTGGCAAACGCTTGTGCAAAATGTATTGCGATGGAAATTTTAGAAAACTAAGCTAGGCTTCAATTAGCATTTATGTTTGTTGGCTTCAAGTCTATTCGCGGGTAACACCAAAATGTTATTAACAAAAGTTCACAATTGGATACAAGAAAGACTAGAATGAGAAAGAAATATCTCGAGGGAGGAGTTTTGTAATCACACTAAGTTGCAATAAGTACAAGTGATCTCTTTTCCCAGGTTTATCCTCTAATCCCTTCTTTATCGACTGACACAGAGGCACAACGTTAAAGAATTTGCTACTTTTGAACAATTCAAATAATGAAACATACATCAAGGTTTAATAATCTCTTGCTGTAAAAATACATGAATTATATGTTAACTGTAAGATCATATACCTGAGAAGTCGCTTGGCGTCTTCATGTAAATCTGGTAAATGTTAGTAGTGTGTAATAAGACAAAATGGAATAGGGTAAGATATACTAGCAATGAGACACACTATAAGGGAATGTAAAGTAATTAATCCCCTCTAAAAGCTAAACCAAAATGTACCATGAGCTTGTATAGAGTAATGCGATTTTCATGTTCTCTTCTTCATCACTTTGCCTTTGCTTCTCCTCTCAAGCTCTCATTATTCTCTCCAATTTCTTCATGGTATCAAAGACTTGAGCGTAAGCTTATTCGAGCTTCTCCATCGATCTAGGGCTTCACTCGGTCCAAGAAGCTGTGATTCCATCGCTCAGCATCTACCCGATCGCTCTGTTCAAGGAGCAAAGATTACTTGATCGGCCTTCAACATTCAAGGATTGGTCTACCATTCCTCAATTTGAGCACTTTTTGACAACATTCGAACAAAACTCAGAAAACCTCGATCTATCAATAATGGAGTTGAATACCTTATTCTCTATCCCACCCTCCAAATTTTTTATGAGCAACATAAAACTTCTTACTCAAAACCTACTCTCAGCTGAATATTGTCCTCTGTGGAAGGCTCAAGTTTTCATGGTGTTCACCGCAAATGGGCTCTTAGGGTTCCTGAATGATAGCTTTCTTTGTCCATCGCAATTTGTCGATCCCATCACTGATTCCCAGGTTTGCAATTCGCAATATTCCTTATGGATTTTGATTGATCAAAATCTTAGTGTAACACTTTATTCAATCATCTCTACACCAAGACTTATGTGCTACACCTTTTTACTAACAAGGAGATCTGGTATACTATTACTAAAATATTGCAACCAACCAACTGCTAAAACTTTTGTAGACAACATTGTTGTTGCATGGGGAAAGCTAGATACTGAGGACATCATCCTATATACGCTCAATGGACTTCCGGCTACATACAAAGCTTCAAGAAGGCAATTCCGGAGTCAACTCCATCCCATTGATCTTGATGATTTCTACTCCCTCCTATGCAGTGAGGAGATCAACAGTGCAAGTGACAATCAGAGATCCCATCCCTATCCTCAACCACACCTTGCACTTGCGGCCACAAGAGTTCCTTTGGTGGTTTTTGTTTCGTGGTTGAGGCCGAGGTACAACCTCAAACTGTACCAAAGGAGGCCGAAACACACAAAGTTCATCAGTAACATGCCAGATTTACAACAAATTCAGTCACTCTGTGGCTTCATGTTGGCATCGGTCGAACTTTGACTATGTACCTACCAAGCAAGCATTGCAAACAACTGCCTGTTCATGGTTCTAGACTCTAGGGTCACCGCTCAGTTTACATCCATCTTCAATCATCTCCACTTAGCAACCCCTGCTACAAGTTCCGAACAGGTCACCATGGGTACAGGACAATCTGTTCCCGTTGCAAATGTCGGAGATGACATCCTACTCCCCACCGTACATCCTACTCCCCACCGTAAGCTTATTTTACCTCAAATTTGGCATGTTTCATCCCTTTCTCACAATCTCTTATTTGTTCACAAATTAATCTCTAATAATAATGTTGTTGTTCTCTTTGATCTGAATGCCTTTACCATCTTTGACTCTGAGAAGAAGGTACCTCTACTTCGAGGAGCCAATCCTAACAGCCTCTATTCGACCCCTCCCTTCCCGCCACCTACACATGCCCTCGCGACCACTACCATGAAGTCTAGTCTTTGATACAGACGTCTTGGAAATCCACATTCAGATGGTATTCAACTTACATCTTTCAATCATCCTACCTTAAATATAACAATACCTACATCTATATGTAATACTTGCATTTGTGACAAAAGTCATTTCCTTCTTTACATACACACGCTCCTTTACGTTTACTTCACTCTGATGTATGGGGTCCATCCCCAATAGTATTTGCTCAAGGCTATAAATATTACCTACTTTTTGTTGATAAATTTTCCCGCTTTTGTTGGGTATTTCCTATGCGAAGTAAAGCTGAAACTTTGGATATATGTATCAACTTTATTACAATGTTTCACACAAAATTTAACACTCTTATTTGTATGTTTCGATCCGATAAGGGTGGGGAGTATACCAACCATAAACTTCGCAATTTTCGAATGCATAAAGACATCCTTCACCAATTCCGTGTCGTCATACTCAGAACAAAACCGGGTGGCCAATCAAAAGCATGGACACCTCATTGAAACTACAAGAACCCTCCATGATGCCTCCCTCCCTCTCACACTATGGGTTGGTACGGTTTTTGTGGCATCCTATCTTATAAATAGAACGCCATCTAAAAATCACCCAATCCAAACCACAAACATCACATAAATTAGCTCTTCGGTCTCACCCATGTGTATTCCTTGGCTACACCTCTCATCATAAAGGATACCCACCTCAGGCAAACTCTTCATATCTCATGCTGTTGTGTTCGATGAAAATGTTTTTCCATACCAATCCCTTCAAAACACCCAATCCTCCCCATCTCAACCGGATATTCCAACAAACCCTCGTACTCGTCCCTCCATATGTACACCAACCTGTGCTAACCACACCCTCATCCACACCATCTCATATGTCTCTGTCGGCCGTTTTATCCTTCGTGATAAGGTATGATTATAATTTTAAAAAATAATATTTTAATTTTTGAAAAGCGAGACCAAGCGGATCTCATATATTTGATAGTTTAAGAGGTTGAGCGTGAAGCCACAAATAGTACACTATCCCGAAGGATAAGCATACAGCTTGTTGGCAGGCTTAACCACATAAACTAAAAGATTTGTGACATCTGTTTGGTCTGAGAAACTTTTTTATAAGCCGACAAGTTCCCCTATTTAATACGGGAGATTAAATAGGGTTTATTTTAAGCTAGGTTCTTGAGTTCCTTATAGAGACAAACCTCTATAGTTAATTACAACTTAAATAATCGAAATCACTTAAGAAGACTCTCGATTAAGATCCGTGGTTTTGCCTTCAAGATTGTAAAGTTTAGGTTTCCAAGGATGAAATATGAGGAAATCAAAGGGGGCAATGCTCGAAATATGAACAATTAGTTTCAAGAGTCAACGGGGTGAAAGGTAAGGGATGTCACAGATCCGGGAAAAGTCCCGGTGACTTCCCAACTATCCTACGATTGAACCATAACTCTAAAGAGACATTCTACACCTCGTCGTGGTCTCGATCGTCGCCCTCCGTTAGCTTGCTTCCACACTCCGCTTCCTGGAAAGACTACTCTAAGATCCTTAACGTATCGATTATAAGTTTGGGATTGTGGTGTGTATAAATGTACAGTTATTGGGTCAGTGGATCACTACGGGTACCTTCTAAATCAGGTGTTCTACTGGCTTCTAACCTAAAAGTCCCCTGCTAGTCTATAGAAACAACATGAGTTATAAAATGAAACATGCTATGAAACACAATAAACAATAAACAATAAACAGTAGTATTACATGCATGAATTATGTGTATACGTAGTAAAGTGTGCAGTAGCAAAAGTAAACGCTGTAAATGTAAAACAAATCTGTACACCTGACGAATCGGCGATTCATGAAAAAGACTCCAGAAAAAACGCCAAAAGATCCACAGTAATTCGAGAAAGAAAACTGTCGAAAACACGAAGAAAATCTGAAAAAAAGAAATCACAAGTGCTAAGCCATAGGTAAACACACAAAAAATCCGATTTCGATAAAATCATAGGAAATCACATAAAAAATCCAAAGAAAGAAAGAAAGTCGTAAGCATTCCGGTCGGGTTATGTTTAGAATTATGTATTCTCGAGAGACTCCGAAGACAACTATCAGTCACCCGTATGTATAAAACCCGACATTCAACTAGAAATGTGTTTTACTATACCAACTTAGGAGGGTACTACTGGCGATTGACAAGTGGACTATCAAATTATGTTATTTAAAATTTATATTTTAGCATGCATACAAGCTTCATGCATTTAAGAAAATAGCGTCAATTTTGGTCGTTAAAATACTTTAGAAAATAGCGTATCTGTTCTTATCATTTCTTATAAAAATATAATTTGTCCACAAGTCAATCGAACCGTCGGGCCGAGACCACCAACAACTCAAGAAGGCAAGGGTGTCCTGCTAGTGCGGTGTTGGTGAATAATATTGTCATCCTACATTTTACCGCGTCCCTGGATTGGGTCCCGATGTCGTAGGATGAAATATTATCCCGCTCTACCACCGAATGCCTTTTTCATCAAGGCCCCCTATAACGATCGTCCAAGTTATGACATTGCTTGATGGTTTCATATATAGCCAAATCTATATACATGCGCTTATGTGCCGGACATAACTGCCTAAAACCCAAATCAAGAAGCAAAGAAAGTAAACCAAAAACACAAGAAATGAAAAAAAAAGGGAAAGAAAGCTAATCCTCCTTCATAATCAATTTAAGGAAGAAAAGCCGAAGTGGTAGGAAGGTTAGCCTAAAACATCCACCTGATGAGACTTCTCGAATGAGCAATGAGATGGGCACACTTTCCGATGTTAGCCAGGAACAACCTCGAAACACACGATTTAGAGTCCTCTAAGCTATTCCCCAAACCTTTCTCAAATATCAAAAAAAAAAATTCTCCTTTTTTTTTCTTCTCTTTTTTTTATTGCAATTAATTCAGTCCGCAGAATTGGGCCTTAAAACATCTCCAAATATTTAGCAAATTATTCCTCGAAAATGGGCATTCAAATTCTTCCAAATAACAAGAATTGAAATATTCAATTTCACCAACATTAAAGCATTCTATTCCACCTCGAACCAAAAGCTTCCAATGTCATACAAACCCAACACTACACCAGAAACCCAATAAGTGCTCACGGCCAGGGGCAGTTAAGAGGGCAAAACTGAGCCCATTATAAGGGAATCACAACCACAAGCTCACGGGTAGGAGTAGCAGAGGGAAGCCATCAATTCCCAACACAAAGGAACCACAGGCAACGACTTACGGCCAGGAATGGCAAAGGGGACCACCAAATAGGTGCACAAAGGAACCAACAGACACAAAAAGGGCTCTCGGGTAAGAGCAACCAAAGGGGGAAGCCACCAGCTAACACCCAAACCTACAGCCACAAGCTCACGGGTAGGAGTAGCCCAAAGGGGAAAGCCACCAGCTAACACCCAACACAAACAAGAGAACACAGCAGGAAGGCTCGTGGCCAGGATCCGCCAGGAGATAACAACAACCCTAAACCCACACCTAGGAACCAACAGGAGGGCTCACAGCCAGGGGAGCAACATATGGCCCCAAAACAAGACTCCGAAGAGTTCCAAAAATCAAACATCACCATCTTGCAGGTGTTTCGAACAGAGGAAGCAACATGGAACCAAAATAAACCCCCTAAAATAAGCCTTTTTCAGAAGCTCAAAAAAGACAACATTTCTTTCAACGTATGATTTAAATAGAGGGGCAGCAACATAAGGAGCAAAACCGAGCTACCAAACCAACTTCTTAAAGCATTAAAACAGGTTCCAACATATATTCAAATAGGGGGAATAACAGGAAACAAATCCAAGCCCCAAAATCAACTGCTCAAAACACAAAACAGATTCCAACATGTATTCGAACAGGAGTAGCAAAGGGAGCAAAACCGAGCCACCTAAATAGCTGCTCAAAGCAAGAAATAATTTCAACATGTATTTGTCGGCGCTTAAAAGGGGAAAAGTTAATATTTGGGGGTCGCCCGTAAGAAGCTGTCGGTCGCCGGAATCGAAATCCCGTCACCCGCTTCGAAAGGACTTTTTAATTTACGTATATATATATATAATTTTAGAAAAATATGAAATCAAACTGACCTCATATTTTTCACAGTTTAAATGAAAGAGCGCTCTACCTCAAATCCTGTATCTACCCCGAAGAATAAACACAAGACCTGAGGATGAAGCTCGATCAAATAAACTAAGAAA